TCAATTACTGAGCAGTGCATGAGCATGAACTGGATAGAACTAGTTTGCTAGTCATAACTTTTCTTAACCTTGATGAATGGTACTTTGTTCTTCTTGTATTTAACAATACTCTGTATCGATATCCAGCCATATAGTACATTTGATCCCCTTACAGCCTATTTCTTTCAGTAGAAAACTCCATTCTCCATTGGTATGTGTCGTACCTAACTAAATGTTGATGTTTTGTTGCTTGAAAGGGTCACATGATATTCTGCAGTTTCAGTTAATGATGTGAAGTTTACTTATGATAAATATTTTTATTATGTTTAAGTTGCTTGATATCTTTTGTACTTTACCTTTATTTCGTGTTTGCTAATTGCATATTTCTTTTCATCATTATATTACCTAGCTGTTATAGGTTACTTATTTCTCTTTCACTGTTAACTAATTTCCTAACTCTAACACATATTCATTGCAATTATTTTAACCATTTTCTTAGCCTTTCAAGTTAAAATTCTTTCAGGTTCTCTCATAGGTTATTTCAAAACCTTTATTCTTAACCCTGTATGCATGGATGAGGACAAAATGCACGTCATGATTTTTTATAGTTACATTCAAAATTTATTTAATCTACTTTATTACTTAAACATAGTTAATAAATCAAATTTTAATATTATATGATAATTAATTTCTTTATTCAAAACAAAAATCTTAAAGAAAAATTACTCAACACTTGTATGTCACATGACATACTCGTGTTATAAGTTGTTCAATTTACATTTTATTACTTCTACTATGTTAACAGTTCTTAACCAATTAAAAACTAAAACTTCACTTATTGAAAAGCTTGAATATAACATAAGAGCCTCCCACCTTCTTGATTGGCTGAGATATCAGTATATTTAGCAAAACTATCAGAGAAGCATCTTCCATCTCTTCATTCTTATGAAGCCACTTATTTACTTATACTTACCTGTCTCAATCACATGTTTATAAGCAACAGGAAGAGCAGAGGACATTGGAAATTTATTATGAAATTTGAAGTGTTTACTAAAATAGCTTTTCCAAACAGAAATGAATTTTTAACATATTTATACCTTAGTTAGAAAGCCAGGTAAATTATAGTAATTTTGTGATGTCTTATTCTAGTGAGTGATAGTAATCATTAATTCTCCAGAATGAGCTAGGTCCAGTGGACTGAGCCTTTATATGTAAGGTTAACATTTTTCATCCTTTAAACAAAATTCTCCATGGATTCAAGGAAATTCAAGTTTCAACTTCCTTTCTCATAAAACCATAATATCTTGAAACCACAAGTTCGAAATTAAATCATTGTTCATAAAAATTAGTCCAATATAGCTATCTTTATTATATATACTCCAATATTACACCATAATGATGATCTTTTATAACACTACAATATTAGGAATGAACAAAACCTAATGACCTCAGTATACTCAGTTACTTAATTGTTTATATTGTAAAAATATAATACAAAAAATATCCCAATGGTGTCTGCATGAGTCTTCTTGTAATTCCAGTATGTCTAATTTTGGTCATCCCACATTATTTACATCTCTATATTTTAAACCAATTAGCTATTTTAACATTTTTGCTTCATCAGCTTCTTCTAGGGTTTACATACACTTGTCTTAATTGTTCATAAACTATCTTCTTTGCAACATGTAAACCTATGTAGATAGTTGGTTGTGCAATGAATGTGCCTCTCCTTTTATCTTAACATGCATTCCAAAAAGAGTGAGGTGAAAACATACATTTCCTTAGTGCAATCATTTGGTTAAGTACAATACATATTTTTATAATTTACAAACATACATCACTATTCCTTTCCATGTTTAAAGTATAATAACACAAGTGTTTACTACTCTGATATTACTGTTTACATTTTGGCTTCACTTCCAAATAATTATAATAAGTTATCCTTGTCAGTTGTGTGTGTGTGTGAATGTATTTGTTTTCTCCTAAATCATTCAAATTACGTATCCTACAACTAATTTTGTCTGTCACAATCATTTAATTCAACAACCTCAGTTTCTTCTGAGTTAGTAATATTTTCATTATTTTCCTTCCAAATTTTCCTAATCCATCAACTTTCCTTAATTTAATTGCTGCTAGCACATTGCATGTTTCACACAACAGTATGCTTACTAATATGGTTTTTAAGCATACTGTTATCAGTATAAAATTAATAAAGTATTGCTATAAGTTTGATTTCTCTGACCTTCCAATAAAAGCCTTCCTCAGTAAGTTTATAGTGCTTCAGTAAGACCACTTTTAACTTGTCATAGTCCATGACATCTCCTAATGCCATGCCTGCAAACACTTGTAGGCCTTTTCCTGTGAGAAGTGGCTGAGACAGAATGCCCACTCACCTTTAACATAGTTCTGACTTTGGGTGAATCTTTCTTGCCTCTCAACGAAAGCATCAGTGTCGTCTTTCTGTTTTTCATCAAATTTGGGCAGCTTGGGTCGGCTGACCCTGACCCCATTGTCATTCTTGGATCCTACATCTTTCTGTTGGGTAAGCTTGGCAATCTCAATTTGCAATCATATTCTCTGTTTCCAGTCTCTTCTCTCTCTCTCCTTTTCTTCTTACTCTTTATGGGCTTGTGTTTCATGCTCATGTTCTCCTTTTACTCTGATAAATGTAAAAGAAAACCAGGTTAGATGAAGTAAAGGAATGGTAGACCAGTAATCTCTGGGAAGCAAATTATAACCATATCAATAGTAACACCAAGAAATGCTACAATTGCTTTAGGAGTAACATCGCTGTATTTTAGCATTTTTCTTTTCTTTTTGGCATCGATGTTTAGGTGTGCAAATCTATTTGTTTCTTCAGCAATTTTGATAACAATGTTGAGAGTGAAAAAAAAAAGTTGAAAAACATCAAGTAGAATATGACACCTGCTATCTTGATGTGACACAGGCTTTCCTTGGATGAAATTCCTCTGGCTTTTGTTGTATCTTCTTGCTTCTGGCCATTTTGGAAGTTTATGTAGTGCTGGTCGTGGGAGAACTGGTAACAGTATCCCCAGATTGTTGTGGGTCGTGAGGAAAGTTTTTTTTCATGAAGGTAGGTCAGGCTCCTCCAACAGCAGTGAATTCATGAAAGCTGGTTAATTTGGATCCACTTGATTTGATCTGATAACTTCTTCCTCTGACTCAGAGAAAAGAAATTATTATTCAGGAGAGGAAGCAAAAGAAGAGGAGTAATACTTCATTCACAGAGAGATCACTCTTTTCCTTGAGTGAATCCATTAGATTTTTAGAGGCCATCTGGGAAAGTTTTAATATATGTTATTAATATTCTGGTCACATAATTTATAAAGCAAAATGACATGCATATGAACTATGTACTTAAACTTTAAGCTTTAAGAACATGTGTGTCAGATATAAAAGACTGTTTAATGTAAGTAGTATTATTAATTTATTTATTTTATGTTTGTAGTTCATTGATATCGAGGTTATCGAACATTTTGTTTGCAATCCATTGATGTCGAGATTTCTAGAAAGCCTAAGTGATAGACATATAAGTAGCTGCAACCAAACAAGCAGAAAGAGAGTAAAAGTAAAGTCACGTGAAAGAGAAGTTCGGTTAGAAAACTTAAAGCTAACTGTTGTGAGAGTGAATGGCTTAACAGTTGATATGTTAGAGTGAAATTAATAGTTTAAAATAGGATGTTCTAAACTAATTGAACCTGCCTCTGTGGGCTTTGACAAAAGGCAGACGATTATTGGAAGAATGAAGAGCAGATGATTATTGGGAAGTACAAAGAGCAGATGTTTATAGGAAGTACGAAGAGCAGACGATTATTGGAAGCTCAGGATACAACTTATGCAACAGTGTAAATGAATTATACACAGATGTTATTGTGATAGAAATAGAGAAAAATAGTTCGGCTTGTCATCTGAATTCTAAAGCAATTGAATTGGCTTAAGTGGACTTTTGACAAGAAGAAGAGAACTATATAGTGTTTAAGATACAACTATGATATCCATAGTGTAAAGCACTTTTTGTACATACGTTTAACTTGGATTGCGTGCTGTTTGTTTATTGTCAAATTTATCGCCAACAATAAGTCACAGACACCTACTGTAGAAGAATCCTTAGCCCAAAACACCCATATATTTACATTACTATATATATTATTAAAAAGTAAGTTTCTGACTATGTGCTGTTAACAAATTCAAATGACTACAGTTTACTGTTATCTGTATTTGTCACAGTTAAAAATACTTAGGGAGTACAATACATATTAATTGTTACACTCCAGTAATGTATAGTCTGTTAGAAGAGCAGCATACATAGTATACACATACTGTATAAAACATAAGTTGTAGTAAGTAATATCTAAACCATAAATATCCACAATGCTTGGCTGTAGCAAAAACAATTAGGTCATTACAAAATATAGAGCAAATTAAAAATTGAAAATATCTTACTTTACATGATTGTTAGAAAACTCTGTCCAATAAAACTATATAAAGTTATGTTCTCTCTATAGAGTAAAATATTTTATTATTTATTACTACCCTGGATACTCGATAAACACAAGAAATTAATATTTTGTGTATTAATCAGTTAGAACTAGTACATATAAACAGGCTATCACTGTTTTTACATTTTTGGTGTATATGTGTATAGACCTAAACATAAAATCACAAAATACACTGAAAACTAATTTTATTGAAGGAATCTTATTTAAATATTCATTATAAGCAAAATAACATATGTTAGTATTTATAAAAAATGTGTTATTTTCATTTCATATATGCAGCCCACTATGCATATAAAAAAATGGATGGTTTGCTTTAAAAAGTTATTTTGTAGTTATTGATTACTAAGTTTACTTTGACGTGGACACCAGCTAAAATCGTAATACCTTGTAATTTGCAAGACTAGTGGGTATAGTTAACTACAGTTATGCACAAAGGATGAATGCAAGTTTTATTATCTATTCAGACAGCTAATTATTCATTGTTATTATTCTTTTTTTCAGATATAACCATGCATTACTTTTCCTTTTATGGATTAGTAGCAGCTCTACCTACACCTCTCAATCGTTTAGTTCCTTTAGCTGCTTCTGTTTATTGGTTGACTGTCATATGTGTTCAGGTATAATATAATTATTTTTTATAATGCTAATATTAGTACAAAATATTAAGTAGCTCAAGAGGTATTGCTTGACTTTACAGTCTTAATAAGCTACAAGAGAACTGTTGATATAACTTAGTTTTAAGACTTCTTCATTGTAAATGAAGGTACAAATAAGTTTCAATGTTGATTATGTAATTTTAATAAAACAAAGTGCTAAATTTGAGTTATTTATTTTTTGTTACCCATATTATCACAAAATTATGCCAGAAGACATACAAATTTAGCATTTTATAATAGATGGATGTAATAGTGGTTTGAAACTTAACATTGAATTTGATAAATTCTGTTTAACCCTCTCATTATGAACAGGTCAAAGAGTGTGTCACAATGTTTTAGAGAGTTATTTTCAAAATTTAATTAACTTTCTTATCAATGTATGTCAATAAAATTGACTTCAAAACAAACTTTATAATTCTAATTTTAATACTATATATATTTTAATTCCTTAACTCAAAAGTAAATATTAAAAACAATATGCTAAGTATCCTTTTTTGGGGGGTCACGTGGCATGTCCTCTTGTCTTATTGGTCAGTTTATTTGCACAATGCCGACCATACAACATCTATAGTGGTTAATGAATTAGAAAATCAAATTTCAGGCATTAACAAGCTAGAATATAAAATAAGAGCCTCCCACTTTTTTAATTTGCTGAGATATCAATATATTTAGCAAACCTACCAGAGTAGCCCCTCCTGCTACTACAATCTTTTGAAATCTCTTCTCAACTTAAATACATCTTTATTAACCAATATAAAGAGCACATTCCAAACTTCGTAAGTCTAACAGTCATTTGCAATTATCTCGAAGGGGGAAAGCCAGAGTTTTACTGGAAATGTTGAAGTCTGTTGACTAAGTCATTTCTCTGAACAGAAATTAGATCTTTTTAACTCATATATAGCTCAGTTAAGAAGCCAGATAAATTAGTGATTTTATGTACACCAGTGTAGTAATTTTTTTGGTTTTCTAAGATGCATCTTTAAAATTTACAAAAATGGATTTGTCTTTCCCTTCACATAAGAGAATAAACAAGGCTTACAGCCAGTGGCGTGCAGAGGTTCTATGATGCCCAGGGCCTTGTACCTAAGACCTTGAGGAAGGGCGGAAAGGGTTCTACTGTTTGATTTGACTCTTTGCGTTGGACACCCGGGGCACCCGGCACCTTTCGCCCCCCCCCCCCCCCTCTGCACTCTATAAAGCTTAGCAAGTATGATACACGAGAAAAAAATGTATATCATAATATTGTAAATACTAAAAATCAGTTTTTCTAAAAATTGTTATTTATTGTGTTATGTTTTAAGAAAAATAAAAATTAAGCTTTTATGAGTAAATAGTACTATATATTTATATATATATATACATATATGTTCATAAGTACTTACATGCCTTGTACTCCTATATAGGAGTAAATTCTGACCATATCAGGAGGATAACTAACATCCAATACCTACCAAATTTACTAGATCATTCTGGACTTTGTACAGAACCATATCATAAACATTTCTTTAGGCAATTCTAGTAACTACTGTACTGTAAACAAGCTGATAAATCCTCTCCCACTGTTTTCACAGAGCTGAGGTTATGATAAACTGTGAGAATCATTGGCTTATTGCAATGCATATGCTTGTTTGCTATTGATGATGTCATATTATGGTGTCATGTAGTAAACAGTCTAATGGCAGGAGCGGTGATACATTGCTTTACGTTAAGCAGGTACTACTTCATCTGCTAACAAAAAAATATAGAAGGTAGATGTGAAAAGGTTAGAAGTAGAAACTCTCAGGAGAAGTATCTGGGAACTTCATGGTCAATACTAGAAACGATAGAACAGTACTTTGCATTTTATTTTGCATTTTTTTATGGTAGTTATGAGTTTGGTCAAATTGACTGAATGCGTATAGAGTTAGGATAGAGAAAATAACAGATAAAATATAAAGTTTTAATAAAAATTTAACATTTGATATTTATGCAGAAAGTTTTAGAGATTATTCAAATGAAATTTGATAATTTTCAGATGAAGAAAAGTATTTTAACCTTAAATTGAAAACCATTTTGCACTGAGAACAGTCAACACTCTGACAATATAAACATGGACATATTTTTAGTAAAAATTACTTAGTTAAAAATTCTGATTTTTTTTTTGTCTACAGAAGACTTGTAACATTTACTAAAAGCTCAAATTTTTCATGAAAGTATGTAAAACATATTAAAAGTTATAGTATGGAAACTGATGGTTAATGTAATCCACTGAAGCAGTAGTGAAAGATTTAAAGCCTTAACACATTCCACAGTCTTACTTTGTCATCAATATCACTACATATTGTAAATTTCTTAACTCCTATATAATACGTTTGATTAGGCAAAATTTGAAAGAAAGTGCTGCACTCTAAGCCAAGAGTATTAAAAATCCAAATTTTTGAAACTAATATCCATCAGACCTTCATAAAAATTAACTTGTATATATGATATAAATGGTTGGCTTGAAATGTAATTTTTATATGGTTGGAAATTATTTGAAATAATATCCACAGACATAGTTTGTTCAATTGTTTTGCAAGTTGTGTAGAACATTCCATTTTAGGAATTGTTTATATTATCCTCATGTTTAAAGAATTTCACTAAATATGACATACAAAAGATTCAGGATTACTTTAAATCAGAATTTTTTGCATTTTAGAAGCTTGATTAACTAGGTGTTTATAAAAAAAGTCATCGTACTTTGATCCCAACACATGAAACTTTTAAGTAAATTATTAGGCAACATTAAAACATTTTAAACAGAATATCAATTATTGGTACTTAGTAACTTGAAATTGTTGATATCATAAAGGAATTTTTCTTGTTTTTTCAGCATGTTGAATTGTAATTTTAAAATGGAATGATTTTCCAAACTTTTGTTACAAATTTGTAATAAAAATTTATAAGTATCCTTTGTCCCTAAAAATAAAAGTTGTAAAAACAAATTCCTAAATCAGAGAACATTATAAATTGACAGTTTTAGCATATTTTCAAATTGTAATATTTCTTTTTTTCACTGAATATGGTTAAATCTGGAAATGTATCTATTAACAGAGCATAGCTCTTCTTGGATTAGTGACTGCTGTAGTAGATGCTACTTCTGTTCTGCAAAGAAAAGGATATCAAGGTGCACTAGTGGCATTTGGTCTTACTGTACTGGTGATGGTGTGCTCTCTAGTTGGAACAAGAGAAGTAAGCTTCTTTTGTAATACTCTGCAATCTGTAATTGTGTACAAATCCTTTTAATCATTTTTCATGTCAACTTCATAAAAATAGCAAAGACCTGAAATGTTAAACTCCTGATATGGAAGTGGGATAGTAACTTGGGAGTGTCACATTAATTTTATATATTTATTTATATACTGCACACTTCAAAAAGATTTTTTGATGTATGCTGGTTTAGATAGGCAACTACTGCATTGATCTGTAAATCATTAGTAATGGTGCATCCCCCAGTGGGTGAGTGGTAAGTTTATAGACTTGCAACAATAAAATCTAAAGTTTGATTCCCCACAGTGGAAGAGTGCAGATAGTCCATTGATAAATAATTGTTATTTATAATGATATTTTTAAAAATATAGTATTGGTAAACAGGATTACTGTTTCCAAAATGTTTTTAACAAGTTGTTACTTATGCAGCCATACCACTTACATTTTCACTGATGTTAGACATCAACAATGCATAAAATATCTTTCTCATGATAATTCTAACTTCTGACTGTTTATTAGGCAAACAAGAACTTAGCCAAAATAAAAACCTAGTATTTTTTGATATTCTTCAAGTAGCCTAAATTTGTAAAGTAATTTTGTATTGTAATTTTGTGCCATAATTCAAAATCTTTAATTAAAATTAAATAGTTATAATTATGTATAATGAAACTGTATGTTGCTTATGAAGGCATAAAGCTTAAAGGTTGAACAAATAAAATAACTTGAAAGATTCTCTAGAGTTTATTGTTATTTTATTTATTTGTAATAAAAGATTTAATCACTGTTCAATCACATATTGCAACAGTACTGTGTGCATGTTTTGATACTTGTTATTCCAGACAATCCAGTATTGCTTATTGCTTTACAAGTTTATAAGTGTGTTTATGACAGTGTTTGGGTCTTAGGTGTTCTATCTATAACTACACAGTTGCTCAGATGCCTTGTACCCAACTAGGAGAAATGAATAATCTTAAATGATTTTATTTATAAAGCAAACAAATACTTAGTCAAAGTAAAACCTAGTATATTTAAAGTGACACAGCATAAAATTTGAATAGCATGAATTTATTTTCTAAAATAAAACGTTTGGTAGTTATCTTAAGTTAGAAAGTCTATTCAGATAATACAGTATTATTGTGTTCACATGTAGCAAGATTTAACTTCTCCACACTAACTGCAATAATGTTTCATTTTTACAATGATACTATGATACCAGTTAACTTTTTAAAAGTTAGCTGTCTAACACTATAACCTAGTTTTCAGTATATTTTATACGAAAGAAGAGACCTCCCCCCAAAAAATAAGGTTTTTTGGATTAATCAATGTTGACCATATAGTCTTAAAGTAACCTAAATAAGTGAAAAAAAAAGTTAAAATAATGTTAATACATTCTGAAATTATTAGCTCAATCAGGTTATAATCTAGTGATTTCAAAACTTATATCTATCTTTAATTCTAGTAATGTGATTGATATGAAAATAAGAACAGAAACAAACATTTCAAAATTTTTAATTAAAAATATTTTCAGGACATTTACAGTGATTAAAGTTCAGGACATTTTCAGGATTGGAGAAATTAAGAGTTAGACTATCATGTACAGTACTGTGAAAAAGTGGTAGGACAAAGTCAATAATTAGATTTCAGACTACATTCAAAGAACAATGGAAGGTAAATCACAGGTGAAACATCAACATTTTATTAATCTTTGTATTTAGTACAACAGAAACTCAGTGGAAGTGCTTGAGTTCGGCAGACAGTTAATATTTTGTGTGTCCCACTTTTGCTTTAATAACTGCAGACAGTCCTTCAGGCATTGTTGCAACATATTTAATAAAAGTGTCCTTTGGGATTTTACTCCAAATCTCTCTTATACACTCCCATAAAGTTTCTTTGGAAGTAACTTTTGATTTGTCAAGTTTTCGATCTCTCAAATCCCAGATCTATTTAATTGGGTTAAGATCAGGGCACTGTGGGGGCCATTACATCATTTGAAGGACTCCAGCAGCTTCAATCTTAGCTAAGTAATTTCTGCATAGGTTAGATGAGTGTTTGAGGTTATTATCTTCTTTTACCAATAATACACAAACCACTGGGTATACCATGATGGATCAGTATCCATGTATTTCTTAAATATCTCCTTTCACCTCAGCAGAAAAACACCCCCAAACTATCATACTTCTTCCCCAATGCTTCATGGTAGGTGCTCTGCATTGAGGTAAGTATCTTTCGCCTTTCTTCTGCCAGGCCTACAACCTATGCTTTGAACCAAATATTTTAAACTTGGACTCATCCGTCAATAATGCCCTTTTTCAATCATCAACAGTCCAGTTTTTATACTTTTTAGCAAATTTCAGTCTCTTGACAATATTTGGAGATCGAAGTAAAGGTTTTTTAACTGCTACATGACCAAATATTCCATTCTCATTGAATCTTCTTGATACTGTAGATCTGGACACTTTTCTGTCATTTGGTATATGGTCGTTTATCTCATGCTTGAGATCAGTGGCAGGCAGTCTTCCTTCTGTCCTGAGGCTGCATAAACGAAGATTCTTAACATCAGTATTATTGAATTTAGGTGTTCTGCCTCTCCCTTTCCTATGTTCAAATTTACCTGTCTCAGTTTCACGATGTAGGGTGTACTTGACAGTGTTAGGGTGCATTTCAAGTCTGCAGCAATTTGTCGGAGAGTCCAATCAGCTTCACATAAAGTTTTTATGCAAACTCTCTGCTCTACTGACAATTCTCTATGTTTTTTGGGCTATGGTGTGACAACAAAACTTAATATATAGTGTTAAACACTGTTTTTATCAAGGTTTATTTTTGGAGTGCTGTTAAATTGATTTCTTCTAGCATATACCAGTACCATATGCTAGCTTCTTTCTGTATAGTTAAGACACTGCATGGGGTACCCTGACAGTTATTTCAGACCCTAAATTTGATCAGTATGTTCATTCGAGCAGAACCCTTATGTCTTGCTCTTGGTACAAGTATATGGAAATTCTAAAGAATAAGTATTCTCACCCTGGCTCATTCAATTGTCAAAAGGGATCAGTGAAACATTACCATAATGTTGAAATTTATGTTCTGTAATGCATGGAAGAATTAGCCCCATGAAATGGAAGAATTAGCCCCATAAAATGGAAAGGATGACAAAATATTCTATTGTCCTAATACTTTTGCACAATATTGTAATAGGAGAATAAGTATATACTTTTTATATTTTTTTTTATATTTTCTGAAAACCTTCCTTTCAGTTCCATTAGTTTGTGAATTATGAAATTATTTGTGTATTAAATTATATCTGTTTGAAAGCTACAGAGATTTTCTTTAATTAGAAGACTTCAGGTAACTTGAGATAAGGTAAGCTTATGCAGTTTAGAAACGATTTAATTGTAGAACAAAGCAAACTTTATTAGAAGTTTAACATAGTGACAAATGTATAATGTTTGTAGAAGTTTTTCTCATCCTTGGATACATGTATTTTACCTGGACAATATACATTATATATATATACAGTATGAAACAAAGAAGTCTCATAACTAGAGATTGCTTAAGACTTAATAAAGATATTTTGTTGATGTTTGACTCTCTATTTCAAATTATGAAATTTTTACTTTTTAGTAGCTATACTTTGGTTTTAATGAATTGCAACTGTTTGTAAACACAAGCTGTTGTTTTTTTATATTATGTCCACCAAATAAAATCAACATCAAATTCGATAAAGTTAGTTAAATTTAGTGTTTGTAATTGCAATTGAGGTTTTGAATTAAAACATTATTGTCCTTATTGGTGATATTAAATATTATACAAAACATTTTGTTGTTTTTTGCCAATTGCACAAATGACAACCTTCAGAAGAGACCTATCATATGAAACTGAGGTTTGTTTGAAATTTACTTGAAAAATAGAACAATGTGAATGAAAATAGGAAGTGTAATACCAGTTTTTTTTTTTTTTTTTACACTAGTTTAATGGGTAGATTTTGAATTTGTCACACCTACCAAATATACCAACCACTGAAGGGAAATGAGGAAACATTTTTTCTAAAACATACTTACTATCCACTGTCACTATAGATATTTCTTGGTCTCCAGGGTTTTTCTACTTTTTTGCCCATCTAAGCATTGATCACGTTTGCTCCAGACTTTTATACTCCACTTGAATGCCCTTGGCAATATCTAATTTGCAAAACTCTCCACCAATGTGAATGCACCCTCTTTCCAGGTACTGTATAAAAGCACCTCATTCAGATAATGTAATCAATTTTTCTCGACAAAGCATTCGCATGGGTTTCTATACAGGAGTGTTGTGATTATTGATGTTTGGAGTTGCGAATTTAGACACTTGCATTTTCAACAGTCATATTTTTGTTTATTTTCATTAGAAAAAAATATAAAAAATTCGCCGTTTTCTGAACATAAATTCCATAGTTAATATTTCCAGCATGGAGGATAACCAGACCTCACATATTCCACCTCTATTATCTGGTGCTTGTCAGCTGTCAGAGTAGGGGTCACTCTCAGTTGAGGCTTTCTGTGATATGATCTGTTGTGACATGGAGACATGTATGCAGACTAGGGATCTCTCCAGGGGGTTCTAAAGTGGCTTTTGCAAATGACCCAGGACATGCTGGGGAGAATTTAGACTCGTTTTTCCGGCTCCTCCATTTACTAGGTCAGCCTCGACAGAGGACAATTTAGATCAGCCACCTCCGACTCCTTTTCTTAAATTGGTTAATCGGTTATGGGAGCATGATTACATCATTTTCTGAACATCTGGATTTCCTTCACCACGAATCCATGGGTACTTCATGTTCTGGTGTTATGTTTGGTCATTTATTTTACATCTCCACCTCCATTATCCTCCAAATTTGTTGCTTTTTCAACTCCAAAAAGATCCACGGTGAGTGGATCTTTGTTCTCAGGCAATAAGAGAGTTGTTAGCCAAAATGGCGGTAGAGAGGGTCGATCCTGTTCTTCCGGGTCTTTATTCCCACTTATTTGTTGTGCTCAAGAAGAAAGGAGATTGGCATCCAATTATCAATCTTTTGGATCCTCCTCTTTTTACATTGGAATCCTTTCTCAACCTACAATGGCATTTTTCACCAGGATGACCAAGTTTGATGTTTCCTACACTTATCTTCACATTCCCATAGCAGAGTCATCCTGCTGATTTCTCAGATTTGTGCACAAGGGTCAGGTGCTGCAGTTCAGGGCTCTACCTTTCGGCCTCACATCAGCAACTTATGTCTTCTGCAGAGTTGTATGAGCTTTTTCTCATCACCTGTATTCCTTGGGCTTGTGCATGCATCATTATATGGATGACTGGCTACTTCTGGCACCATCTCATCAGTTGGCACAACAACATACCCAGATTCTCTTTTTCAGAAGCCACAAAGGCAGGCTTCCATATCAGAGTAGAGAAATCCATTCTGTTGCCAACTCAATACCTTGTCCATTTGGGTGTCTTTTTGAACATGTACTTAAGTCAGGGTGTCTTCTTTTCCTACTGCGCATATAGTTCTCTCTCTTTTGGGGATGTGGGCATCCCTCAAATCTCTCATTCCCTTAGGACGAACACATATGAGGTCCCTTCACTGGTCACAATGTAACCAGTGGATCATGATTTCCAATCCATTGGATTATCCAGTCTCCTTACTCAGGAGCAACATTGTAGATATCGAGTGATAGTCGGATTGGAACAACACTGCTATCGGGGTACTGATACCTCAACATCGTTCCGAGATCCATCTGTTCACAGATGCATCTCTTCAAGGATGGGGGGCATATATCAAGGTCAGGAGTTCCATGGTACTTAGATGGACAACATCAACATTCTCAAACTCCTTGCTTGTACACCAGGCAATGGTTTATGGTCTGTCTCTCATAAAGGGGAAAATCATCATCTTAAATCCCGACAATTCCATGGTGACATCCCACATTTCTCGTCAAGGGGGCACACATTCTCAAGCTCTTTGTTTTCGAACCTTGGATCTTTTCTACTAGGCTCACTCCCATCTTATCAGTCTTTTAGCATGCCATGTTCCAAGAGTGATGAATTTAATTGCTGATCTTTTGTCCCTGCCCAACCAGATTCTCCAGACAGAATGGATGCTACATCATGAGGTTTTTCAGTGGACTTGCTTTCAGTTTGGGTCTCCAATGATCGACGCTTTTGTAACTCTCAGGAATTCTCAACTGTAGTCATTTTGGGAGCTTACTTGTTATACTGATTCAGATTTGATCCTATGCTATCTGGTTGGGGTGTGCATGGCCTTTCTTTTAGATTAATGTTGATTCGTATATTGTTCATGGAAGGAGGTTCACTATTTCCTCATAATTCCAAATCTGCGAAGTGGTCCTTGGTTGAACACAGTGTTCCACATCCTCTCCATAATTCTGGGGGCAAGTGGAATGCTTCTTGCACACTTGGTTGGGGAGTGAGGATGAATGTTCATAATTCCAGACTAGATGAGTTCTGTTCCTTTTGTTGAGTGTGGTACACATGATCCCATCATTCCAAGCCTGGGATGGTGCCTTTCGAATTTATTCAGATGGAAGAGAAAGTTTGTCCATTTTAATGTTGCTTCCTTTCTCTTTGTAATTCTGGTGGTTCAGATTGCATCACTCTATGGCTACAGTTGGGATCCAGTCAAAAGTATATCTATATATAACATTGCGGTCCAATGGCTCCAGCCACCAATGTGGAATATAGGGACCAAGACCCCTTAATTCCAACCCCGAGTTGTGGAACCTTAGCTATCTGGTTGGGGCTGGCCTTTAATA